GGAAATAAGGGTGAGTTCTGCGAGCTGCAGCTCACAGCAGTAAGGGCTAAGCAGTGACCTGCAGGAAAGTAGGTGGTGTGGGGGACTTACAGGCACTGCTTTTTCCTCAGTTCGTGTTACTTTTCTAACCTTTTGTTGAAATATTTGGCAAATACTCCAAATTTTTTCTGACATCCATCTTAATTCTCACTATTGCACCTGCAAGGCAGATTTGGTACAAAATTTATCCTTGCTTTTGTGATCACTGCAGCCTGATGCTATTTGGAATTAGAAGAAGTGATTCAGGGATTTAAATATGCTGAGTCCTCCCAGTCACTTTCTCAATGTCCTCTCTTTTGTTTGGGAGCCTCATCAAAATGTCCTCAAACCAGCCCTTTTTAATCCCTGTTTTCTTTTGTTTCAGGTTTCATTTGACCTTTAAAGTCATTGCAATCTGAGTTTAGTTTTCACACCCATTTCTTGACTTCCTTAACTTCAGTTGCTATGCCCGATTTGTGAACTTTGTACAATTACAAGAGCAATGCATATGTGTCTTATCTATAGCAAATAACAAGCAAGGCGCTGAACAACTCTAGTTCTGGAGCCAAGTGGAGATAGATAGCTGACGCATGGAGACTGGGATGGCAGAACTAGGACAGTCAAGCTGTGCCTCTCCCCTGTGGGTTCTGACCCTGAAGGGGTTTGCAGAAGAGTTTTGAGGGGATCTTAAAGGTTTAGAGAAGAAGTTGTCTTTTAACTGACTTTCTAGTTACAGGAGAAGAAAGAGGGAAAGCTCAACCAGAAAAATAGAACAGTTAAGCTGTTCTGATGACTTGGTCTTTTTACTGACAGCGTCTCATTTTTTGCAGAGTAAGAATATGGATGCAAGCAGGAGGTCATTACAGCTGGTTCTCCCTGCCCTGCTGGGAGAAGCTGGCCTGTTCATGGGCATTTGGCTATTCACCAGCAAGTGAGATGCCTTCTGGACCTAGATAAGTGCAGAATGGGGGCATTGATGAAGGAAAGTTGAAGAAACTGAAATAGCACATGAAGGCTCCTGAGATCATGGCTCTGTTAACTAAACATGGCTGGAAATACCCCCATGAAACAACATGCCAGTGAATATGTTGATTTGTTGGACCCAACTGTCTCATCCAAAACACTTCTGTTCAGGGAGCTGGTGGTGGACTCTGAGGCAGCCTTTCTGCAGTGCTCTCCTTGGGCTCCTGGCCAGGCAGATCAATCTCTGGGGCAGATCCAAAGCAGAGAATCATTTTCTAGGCTAGGACCTGGTGAGTGATGCTGGAATAGGTAACCATGTCAAAGACTCTATGCTGATGATGAGACAGTGACATGATGGCACTAGGGAACCACAGAGGTGAATGTGAGCATGCAATTTAGCCACACACTTCCTCTGTGTATCCCCTCCTAACACAGTCTCTGGGGATGAAGGGATAAGAAAATCGTAGCATTATTCTGGTTGGCTTCCCTTTCCTGTGTGTTGCTTTCCTGTTGAATCGGTTAGACCTAACTCCTCGAGATTTAGGAAGCTTCCTTATCTGTGTACAAAGTGAAGTCCATACCAACTGCTGTAAGACAGTAATATTTCTGACCTTTTCTGTGCAATTTGACAATACCTGTTTATAGTCCATAACAGAATATCATGTAGTACAGTTGTTGCTGGGTTCAGCGTGGCTGAATGATTGCTTTCTTACATCTCCCAAACTCAACAGATAAGATAACTAAGCTTTCAGTGGGATGTTGATTGAAGCAGAAATGAGTAATTAACAGTGTGTGATTCAGACTGAAAATCAATACAGACTGTATTGAACCAGAATACGAGCCAGAAGAGGGTCTGCTAATACTGTAGGTCTGACTCAGCAAGATAAGTAAAAAGTGCATCCACCTAATATACATGTAGCAGAGGCCATTTAAAAAAATCAATAACTAGAACATTAAGGCCAGGATTACAGGAAATTGCAGGAGAGTCATTCAGGTTGGCACCACAAAACATGGAACACAGAGACATAATCGCAAGGAGCTAAGTTCAGTATCCTCAGGAGCGGTCTTCAGAGCTACCGGCCCCTTGCAAACAGTCCAGATGTGGAAAAGCCTCCCAAGCTTATGAAAATGAAAGGAGACAGCAACCAGATGTTCTCCAGAGCAACCTATTCTGGGTGTATATCATTGTGCCAAGACACCAACCTTTACCATTTTATGTATAAGTATTAAGAACTATACTAAACAGTTATGAGCCCTTGTGGAAATCTGAGATAAGTGGGTTCGTCTGGGCTTACCCAGGTCTGATGGGGTTGAATCTCTCTTCCAGTTATTTGCTGTTTCCCATTTTTGTAAATCTAAAGCCTGCATGCATTCCTAAGACACTTACAGTACATGGTTAAAGCTGAACAAGCTCATGCCATAGGGCTTACTCTGCCATCTGCAGGCTGTGGCAGATGAATAGATGAGCACAGGGTAAGCAAGGCTGTGAACCTTTGATGTCTCATGGGCTCTGTGGTACTTTGCATGTGAGCTAAAGAAGAGAGTCATGAGCTACTTTGCGTTTGTCATGAGGGTGTCATGAGCTGAGAGTGAACCTGCTACTCTCAGCTACTGCAGGATAAGTAGGAAGTTTGTACCTTTGCTTACCTTACCCATTGCTTATTTTACGTTATTCACATTTATCTTTTCATGGGTATAGAAGTGGATTTTTAAAAGGTGGTTCAGTTGAAGGTTGCTGGAGTTACCTCTTTTGCTTTTCTCCTTTCAGTAGCGAGGATGTCAATGTTTGTTACCCTCCTAGATGTAGCTGGGACATCTATAGCTTACAATAACTAGCTCTTTTATCCAAGAAGAAGGCATAGCTCTGCTGTAAGGATGTTGTTTTCAGGCATCAGAAGAAAAATAATTAGAGTGAAAAAATAAGAACTATTTGTTAATTGAACAACTACATATAAACAACAGGCCCTTGAGATACATTTTTTCAGAACTGTGTAACACCACTCTGTGAAATACTTGGCTGGATTAGACACTCCTATAAATGCCAGCAGGTCATTGTATGTAGTATTTGCATTTATTTTTCTATCAGCCAAAAGTGTGCAGCTGAGATGACAATGAACTGTTTTGTTTGTTCACATTTAATCCTAGCCAGCTGGTGGAAAATACAGCTGTGATTTTATGTGGAAAAGAAAGAATCTGCCCACTGATAGGACATCCTTGGAATGCCATGAGCTGGGAGGTGTCAAACACTTCCACCATTAACAGAGGTCTGAAGTTGTGGTTGGAGCTGATTTGCACACACTTGAGTTTTCATGGCTTCCCTTCCATTTTGCAATAATAGAATAATTCAGCAGTTTGGATGTTTGAGTGCTGCTGTTTACTTAAGGTATTAACTGTGTTGGGACTCACTGATAGATGCAGGGCATGATCCTGAAGCCAAATGTGTAATTGCATCAATATTGTTCACACACTTTTCAGTGGATGCAGTATTGAGTGAGCAAAAATAATCACCTTCTCTTTTGCCTAGGCAGGCACCATACCAACTGAAATCCTGTGCTTAAAATCAGCATGGGTTTTTCCTTCTATCCCTTTGTTCCAGATGGTGAAGCCTGTCAAACTGTCTTAACACACGGTTCCATGAGTGCCAAATACCAGCGTGTAAGGAAAGGAAATGTGCATGAGATTTGGTGACTGATGCTGAATTTCATAAGCAGTCTGCTTTGTTACTTGGCATGCCCCGAGACAGCATGTCCATGGCACAGCACGACTTTCTACAAAGTGAGACTATGCACTGGCTCCCTGGGAAGGAAGCACACTGCATTGCTATAAGCTGGTACTGCTGGTGAAGTCAGGAATACAATAATGCCATGCTCAGTAAGGAGTTGCATTCCCTCTGCTCTTGTAGCATCAGTAGTAAAATCTCTATTACCTGAGAGGAGAAGGAAGATGATACTTGAAACAACAGTTACAGATGTGACCATGCTGGTGAATGGGGGGAGGTCCTGGAAGACTTGTCAGGACTGCCAAAAAGATTGTCTGAACTTAGACATTTATTTATTTAAGTGCCTGGAAGAACTCCAGAAGTTCCTTCTCCACAGTCCAGATCCTTCATAATTCTCTCATTGCACCCCCAGCTCTGACACTGAGATCTGATGGTAAAAGCAGTGCAGTGCAGCAGCATGCTGGCCAGTAGTCCAAGAACTGGTCTCCAAATGGATGTTGGAAATGCCAAGTCTGCTCTAGGGTATGCTGGTACATTATAGTGTATGGCACTCATCCCAGACAATTCACAGATTGACTGTCAGTCTGCAATAGATGAGAATTCAGTATGTGTATATCAGGCATTTAAAAAGGCACAGGAAGGCTTGTCATCTATAAATAACGTGATTTGATTCACTGAAGCAAGAATGTCATCTATAAATAAGGTGATTTCACTCAGTAGAGCCATTGTGATACAATTTTACAACATGACTGAGAGCCTTTTTTATTGATCATTTCGAATCAATTGTGGTGTTGGATACAAATTGGTACAATACATCACCCAATCGTATTTATGACTCTCCTACATCAGTACACATGGAATGTTGTTCTGTATCATCAGATATTTGATTAATCAAGTTAATACCTCATCTGCCTCATTGCTGTGATTATGTGATGGGAACAAACTCAAGTTACTGAAAATGATCAACCTCTACACTACCTCTACTGCTTCATCACCTCTTCTGATCCAAGAACTAGCTGAGGGATTTAGACTTTCATAAACACACAAAGATTCATTCTCTTTTCTAAACATTGGATTTTGCAGCAAGAAAAGAAAATCTCCACTTTAGGCAAAAACATCTTTTGCCACAGAATTCACTTTCAAGTTTCAACTTTCTGTCCTTGAGAAGAGCTGGTAGAATTTGCTGCAGAAATCACTTTGCTTCCATGGGCTTTTTGCATCCTCGTTTGCCTTTCTAAGGACTCAGTGTAGAAGACCTTGCTTTCACCAAGTCAGATAATCGTCCAAAAATCCTAAGGAAATGAACTTCTCTGGTGCTGCTTTGGTAAAGAGAGTGAATGCAACTGCGTACTGCCACAGGGAGACAGAGTTCAACACTTCCTCAAATTCGGATGATGCTTCTTTGTACTATTTGCTGGAGGAATGGTCTCTCTACCTATCAGGCACAAACGTGAAGATGTTTTTAATCCCTCCAGTTGTCTGCCTCATGGCAGGTATCCTCATCATTCCTACCATCTTGTCTGTGATCTTCTGTAGGTTTAGCATCCGCCGGGAAACAAGGTACATGCTGCTGGGAAATGCTCTGCTTTTCGATCTGATCTACCTGTTGTTCTACACCCTGTCATCTGCTGTCAATGCAGCACATGTACACCTCCCCAAGGAAGCTTGTGTCCTCTTAATGTTTTTGCTAGCAGTGGCTTACTGTGGAGGACTGTTCACAGCTGCAGCAATAGTCTTGGACACATACATAGCTGTTATGTTTCCCTTGCGCTACATTGCTATTTTGCCTCCTTCACGAACTAAAAAAGTTATTGTATTACTCTGGGTGTGTGCTGGGGCTTTCCCTGGGATTTTCTTCTTGGTGCTATCGAGCACTCACAGCTTTGTGCCCTGTGCCCTGGAAATGTGCTCGGTTCCAGTAATACTAATACTAACTCCGAATGGGACTGATGCTGTGAAACTCTGTTTTTGGCTTTCTACCATTGTTATCTTTCTCTGCCTGGCTCTAGTATTTTGCTGCTATGCTATTATGTATTTTAAAACCAAACAATCAGGTATATGGGAGAGCATCTGCTCCAGAGCCAGTGTAACATTCTTAATGCACAACACTGTGTTATTTTTTTACTTCTTCCCACTCATGGTCCTTTTTGTAGAATCATTCTTGTGTGTTAATGTTGTCGTCAAACTGAAGGTAGGAATCTGGGTCTCCCTGACAGTCTGCAATGTCCTGATGATTCTGCCTAAAATTTTGTTCCCTTTTCTATATGGGCTTCGATACAGAGAAATCGCAGCATCTCTCAAATCCATTGTGTCGTGGTTTAAGCCCAGCCGGCAACTTGGAACCACGCAGCCGCTCGCTCACTCCCCTGCTCTTCCTGCCTCCTCCCACTCCCGGAGGGATGGGGAGGAGAATTGGAGGAATGTAACTCCCATGGGTTGAGATAAGAGCACTCCAGTAACTAAGTTATAATACAAACCACTACTGCTACCAATAATAATGATAAGAGGAATAACAAGGGGAGAGGACACAACCGCTCACCACCCGCCAACCGATACCCAGCCCGACCCGAACAGCGATCTGGGCCTTCCGGGTAACTCCCCCCAGTTTATATACTGGGCATGACGTGCGGTGGTATGGAATACCCCTTTGGCCAGTTTGGGTCAGGTGTCCTGTCTCTGCTTCCTCCCGACTTCCCCTCCTCCCTGGCAGAGCGTGAGACTGAGAAAGTCCTTGGTCGGAGTAAACATTACTTAGCAACAACTAAAAACATTGGTGTTATCAGCGTTGTTCTCAGACTGAAAGTCAAAAACACAGCTGTGCACCAGCTACTAAGAAGGAGAAAAAATGACTGCTGTAGCTGAACCCAGGACACGTCAGAAGAGATCATGTTTGCCTGGTGTCACCTGCTCCATCACCATTCTGAGCCAACATAGAGCACAGCCATAGCAGAGGAGTTGTCCTTACCTTGTTAGCATGCAAGCCTGGTGAAACTCAGCTTCTGAGGAAGTGATCTGAAGAAGTGATCAACTCATGTCAGAGAAGACACGGGCTGATCACTCTGCCTCCTTGGTGCCAGAAGACCCCAGATCTTTCACTCCATCACAGCTGAGAATACATCTAACACTGCCCTTGACAAAGTTCTAAGCTTTGTTCTGATGTGGGAAGGCAGTATCTTTTGAAGGAGCTACTGAATCAAGATCATTTTCACCCACCTGTGTCAGATACCCTTCTGGAAAATAGACGGTACAAAGCAAAAGGGGTAACCACAGGTCTATTGACAGCATGACCTACAGCAGAGAGAGTCCTTAACCAAACTTGCTGTGAACAGAACAGCTGTTTCTTTTACTTGAGCTTGCAAGGTTGGTAGCCAATGTCCGATTCTTTAGAACACACGCCCACTGGTGCCTCTGGAAACTGCTGCACTCAGTGAAATGCTATGCTGCATCTTGTGCAGTGCACTAGTGTATGAGCTGCCTTATGGATTCTGTCTGACAACCGGCAAAACACTGACTTCTTATAAAATCTGTCTGTTGGGAAGTTACCTTTCATCAGTGTCCGCTGGGCAGCCCAGCTCATGATGGTGTCGGGGAGTAACAGGAATAGATGTGCTGCTCAGTGAGAGAGGACAAGCTTGGAGCAGTAGGTGGCAGTGCTTTCCTGCACGGTGCAGGTGGGTGGCCGAGGGCACCCTGGCTCAGCCCAGAGCCCTGGCTCCCTCCCTGCAGGGCCCATGCTGATGCAACCAGCCAAGGCTGAGCCCAGCTGGGCAGAGGTGCACCCATAGCATGGCTCAGGCATGACCTGAGATGAAGGACTAAGCATAAACACTGCTGCTGAGTCCTCACCGAGTCATCTCCCAGTTCTGGCTCACAACAATCTCTAGCAGCCTGATCCCAAGCTAGAGCTGCACTTCCATATCAGAGCTCGTGTTGGGTACCTGCCACGAAACTCCATGGAAGGTAAGGAGGAGAGGTGGCAGAGCCTGTTGATGTACTGAAGGGCAGGAAAGATGATATCTTGTTAAGAGCCTTTTAGGTTTTCCAGATCAGCCACCTATCTACAGAAGATGAGTGAAACACATTTCTGATCCTCAAAGAAGCCAGAATTTTCATTAGACATAGACATCAGTGTGGGAAGTTTAAAATGCAGTGCTATTCCTTGGACTTGAGAAAAGAGCTTTTGTAGTTCTATAAATAGTATTTTAGAATTTGTTACTTTTTGTACAAAAATACACTGGACTTAAAAAGAAGGAATTAGAAAATGGTCCTTGATTTCACTCTGCACCGTATTTCCTTGTGTGCAGACTCTCTCCACCTTCTATTTGCTTAAAGCAATACACAAAGTGCTGAATGTGGATTTGGAGTATTTCATACTCATATGAAGAATGTGAGTCAGGAGGAGAGTGGCGTCTGGTTGCACGAGATGTTTTTTTGGCAGTGG